TCCATACATCGACCAGAGCAGACGACGATGTACGGGAACAACTGGAAGCATATGCATTTCCCAACGTCCTGCCGATTATGTCAACTACAAACCTCCAGCAACGAGAGGACAGGAGACTAGGCCTATCACAAATGACAAGTATGGCTGGTCTTTAACCCTACCATATCCTGGCTTGAAAACAATGGCTTTCACCTTTGCAGGCTTACTATCCGCCGCTCAAAGGCAAGTCGACACCATGGCAAATGGAAGATCTGTACAAAGAAAGAAGACCAAAGAAGAAATGAACAACCTAAACCTCGATTTTTTACCGCATGAGGGTCGAATTGCGTTTTGCAGGGATTTTATGCGTGTTTGCTTTGAGCATCTTGCTTCTCGCATTATCCTTGCATTAGAAAATGTTTCATCTGGCGCCACCAATAGCGTTGGCATGGAAAAGTTGGGGCCAAAGTCTCCCGTTAAAACTGTTGTTGTTAGCGGTGGTGTTGCCGCGAACCAGTATCTGCGACATATCCTGCGCTCATTTCTGGACGTACGAGGGTTCTCCGACGTCGATATTGTCGCACCCCCGTTATACCTTTGCACTGACAATGCGGCCATGATCGGCTGGGCTGGTATCGAGATGTTTGAGGCAGGCTGGAGGACCTCCAGGAAGTCACAGGCTATTCGAAAGTGGAGTCTTGACTCCGCGGCTGAGGATGGTGGTATACTTGGTCCCCATGGCTGGGAACAGATAACAGAATAAGGCTACTCGCAACAAGCTCGTTTTCGTTCCTTTGATCCCATACCCTTGGGAACGGAACCACCCCTATCATAGCCAACAAAACGCCCACCAGGTTAAGTATACTCACCTAACCCTAGAAATATTCAAGGATACTTTCGAAAAATTTTTTTTGATAAAACAGTTACTATCTGCGAGAATTATAGGGGATGAGAGGACAGCCATGCAATACCAAAGAAAAGAACACATAAAAACAGAGCAAAAGGAATACATGGTATATGCAAAGAAGCGCCGATAATAGCTCACATGCTTCGGTTTAACCCAAACATTCATTTATCCCAAAAGAAAACCATCAAATCAATGAGATGACGCCAGTTTAGTGAAATATAAAGGGGGGGTAGCCATCAGTAAGGGATTCATGATACCAAAACTTCGGAATGCAAAAATCAACCTCACCCCCCTTGACATTAAGGTAAAAACACAAGATACTGAGCAATGCAATAAGATCGGAAAAGAAACGCCATGCAGGAAATCAAATACCCTCCCTAAGAATGGGTACAGTAAAAAACAAAGTTGGTAATGGAGGATATCCGACGGATTAATGTAAAAGGTTGTGTATGCTCAACTTTTCGTCGTCGTGGCTATCATGGCTGCCACGTCGACTAACTGGCTCCGAAGCACCTTGCGCTAGGTCACGCTGTCCCAACGTAGGGAGAAGG